GCACACCCCTCCCCCGACGCTTGGGGCAGGGAGGGGGGAGCAAGAAGACTCGCCCGCCCCCTCGACACGGGGCCCAGAGACCAGGAGACGGCAAGCAGTGCACAACCAGCTACCTCCCTAGGCGGGTGTCCAGGAGTGCTGGGAGGCCGTCAAGGCACGGGCGAGCCTCGACTGGGGGACGGCTCGAGTCTTCGGATGCCCCTTGGCTTCCCAGGCGTCCACGGCCAGCGAATCAATAAAGGCCTCGCGCGCACGGAGACGGACCTGTGCTGCAATGGCGCCCCAGACGTCGGTCCGAGGGACCGCGCCAATCACCCCCGGCTACAGGGCCTCGAGGGCCGCCACCCCCGTCAGAGCGTCAGCACAGGCGTTTCCCTAGGCAGGGAAGACCACACTAGGCGAAACCACAAGCTGGGGCTGCTCATCCATGTGGGACGGGATCCACACCACCGAGACCTCGGAAGCTCCTAGCCTCTGGAGGTAAGAGCCCTCTTGATGCGAGTCCAAAGGTCCCGATTGGCCCCCAGAGGAGGGGCGCGCCTACCAGACAGCCATCCCAAGTAAAGTGCGCGACTACATGTTTAAAAACCCCGTTGCTGTTCGTGGCCTCGACGGCGAGAGCAGAGGCAAGGAGCTCGGCACGCAGCACTTTCTGGCGCGCTGCAACTCCGCCCATAGCGCCTCCAACGAGGCGCCACGAGCTCGCTTCACCGTCGTAGGCGATGGCGCAGAAGGCGGCCCCGACCCTCCGACGGCGCGGGCCCTCTGCGCGCGGACCTCCGCTGCCGTCGCCGAAAAGGTGCAAGACGCCATCCTCTCCGCGAGCTTGCCAGGCGTCGCCGCCGACGTGGAGTGCCCACTCGGCGCAGTCCTCGTCGCACTCGGGCGCGGTGAGCGCCAGCGCAGGAAGCCCGCGGAGCCACACTGCAGGCCGGCTCTCGCGCTGCACTCGCGCCTGCTCCTTGAGGCGCGCCGTCGAGTCGTACCCGGGGCATCCGCAATTGGCAGGGCATGTTCAAAATCTGCGGTACAATGTCTCCTCCTCTTGGCCACATCGGGGGCACAGCACGGAGTCGAGCTCGCAGCCCTCGTCGCGCTGCCGAACCCTCGGCCACTGGCCCCCCGATGTGACCACCACGTTCTGACCGTAGAGGTCCATCTGGCCCTTGGCGAGGTACCTCCTGCCCCCTGGCTACGCCGTTGGCGTCGGCGCCCGGGCGATGGTCCTCGCCGCGGGGGTGCCTGCCCGCAGCGGCCCACATGATCCTCTTGAGGTCCTCCACGAACCCGAGCAGGATCGCAGACTTGTCCACGCCGAGATCGTCGCGGGCTGGGAGCCGCCACTCGGCCCCAGGAGCCGCAGTCCAAGACCGGGCCGAAGTGGGAGTCCAGCCCGCATCCATCAGCATCGCGATGAGCGCAGCCAGCGGGCCGCAGACCGCACGCCAACTGCCCTTGGCCCCCGCTCTCTGAAGCTTGCCAGGATCCTGGGCCGGGCGCGCTCGATGCGGAGGTGGAGGTCGGGCGCCCTCCCCCACGGGCCGAGCCGCTCGCCAAGCAGTTGGCGCCTGGGCTCGAGGCCTGGCCCCTCGTCTCCGCGGAGCGTAGCCAGGAGGCTGGCCAGGCACCTGCCTGGGCCCTTGCCCGCCGCGGCTGCAGCCGCGCAGCGACGAATCTGCAGGACGGCCGTCGGGGCGAGGCCGAGGGCCCGGTGCCCACGCGCCACCCTCGGCTGCGCGGCGGTGGCCCATAGCGCCTCGGCGACTCGGCGGCGCGCCGCGCTGCCGCGTCGACGCCGAGGTCGACTGCTCTGGTGGCGGCCCTGCAGGGGACCCCCCTGCGCTGCAAGGCGCGCTGGAGGTCGTTGGCCATCTGCGGATGGCTGGCGATGACGACCGTCTTGTCCGAGACCACCAGGCGCTGCTCGCCCAAGCCCTCCTCGAGGGCGACGGCCACGCCGAGGATGGTGGAGCGCACGTGCTCCAGCATGCCATCCGCCCTGGCGACCGCGTCGTCGACGAAGGTCCAAAGCTGCGCGCACCCCCGCTGTCGGTGGGCCCCCTGCAGGATGGGGGCCAGGAACAGCTTGGCACACTTGTTGATGCGCGAGCTGCCAGCCACCACAGAGCGCTGCAGTTGTAGAAGGGGCACGAGTCACTTTTGCTGTCGGAGGTGCCTCGGCGCCACGAAGAGTTGCGTCTCCTGCGCAAGCACCGCTGCGGAAAATCATACCTGCAATCCTACGCGTAGCAGTCGAGAGAAGCCAATGCTGTCGTAGAACTTCTTGATGTCGAGGAGGAGCGCGGCCGCGTGGAAGCCCATGGCGCGCGCGGTCTCGTCCATGAGCGAGCGGGCGATGGCCGCGCGCAGGGCAGAGCTGCCCTCGATGGCGGCGTCCCACCACTGCGCCTGGGACTCCTCCCAGCTGTCCGTGACCGCGGCTCTCGGCTTCGGCACAGCAGCCCCGATGGTGGTGGCCACCTGCCAACGGCCAGATGGCCTGCTCCTCCACCAGGTCGAGCAGGTCGACGAGCTCCCGCCCGGCCGAGGGCGGGGGCCGCTGGACGTCAGCGGCCGCGATGTCGTCGACGCCCTCGGCCTTCCTGGAGGACGCCCTGGACAACGCCACGTCGAGCCGCTCCAGCATGATGGGGCCCAGCCGCTCCTCGGCAGCTCGCGCGCGGAGCTCGCGCAGGTCCTGGGGGATCTGGCCCTCGTCGTATTCAGGGTCGGACCAGACCTGTGGCCACTCGGTGGCCTTGGACTGCACGATGGCGCTGAGGTCCGCGATGGCGGCGCCCTCGTGGAGGACATCCGTCTGCTGTCCCTGCGGTTCGCGGACGTGGCGGTGGACGACTCCTGCTTTCGCCTTCCACGCCTCCTTGGCCTATATGAAGAAACCTCTCCTGGACCTGGAGCGGGACCTGCCATGCACGCGGCTGGCCAACGACTCAGCGATCTCAATGAAGGGGTCCAGGACGGCGATGAGCTCGTCAGAGCTGCAGGTGACGAACTCTACGCCGATGTGGGCGATGAGGGCCCGCCTGACGTTCCTCCATTCCGTGAGCTCATAAGTGGTGGAGTTGCCGAAATACGTTGCCCTGTGCTGCTCGTCGTCGACGGTGTCGCAGCGGTGCTCGAGGTCGCCCAGTACAAGGTCCAGGTGGTCAGGGTCCGAGTCGTTGGCAACTAGGGCGCGCGCTCCGATGGTCAGGCTGCCGATGGTGCCCCACGCCTTCACTCCGACGTCCAGCGCGCGCGCTCTGCCTGGCGCGGCGTCGCCAGCTACTCGTCGGACGTCGTGTCCATTCGCTCTCCTCCTGCAAGTGTCGGCCTGTTCAGGCGGGAGCTTCTCCGCGACGGCGCGGGGCTCCTCCAGGTGACAGGTGGAAGATCCACTGGGCGCCCGCCTTGCTGACAGCGCCCGCAGCCTCGGGCCTGATGGCCCGGGCGAAATGCTGCAGCTGGCCCGCGCGAGGGGCTGGCGTCGGCAGGGCGTCTGGTCGGCAGCTGCTCCAGATCTCCTCCGCGATGAAGAAAGGCTTGATGGCGCCCTGGCACGCCTGCTCGTCCTCGTCCGCGTCGAGCTCAAGGTGGGTGGCCTGGAACTCTGGGGGGAGGCTGCGAGCTCGCCCCCTGGCCTCCGCTTTGCGCCTGGATGTCTTGCTGTCAGGGTCGGCGACCTGCATGGGCCTCTCCCCGGCGGGGAAGCTGCGGGCCATGTAGAGCTCGTCGCGGCACCACTTCTGGCCGGAGCCCTGGATGGCGACCTCGATGCCGCAGCGGGTCTTCCACAACACGTCGAAGATGGCCCTCAGCTGAAGGCGCTGGTGCCAGCCCTGCACGGCGACGGCGCAGTCGCACATGCGGCCCTTGCCCTTGTCGCACGCACTAGCGGCGCTGGTCGAAGTGACCACCGCACCGCCTACATTGCCAAGCCACTCGCTCTTGTCCCACTCGGCGGGCCCCAGGTCCCAGTCCGCCAGGGTGACCCAGGGGTCGCATATGGCGGCCACGAAGCTGCCCACCGCCCTGGCGCGGTTGACCCCGTCGAACTTGAGGTTCGGCTGGAGGTGCGCGACGACGAGGACCACGCTACCCTCCTGGAGGTGGACCACCACTGGACAGAACCCGGAGACCACCTCCTCCCCCGTGGCTTGCAGTTGCCAGTGGCGGCGCGCCCCGTAGGTCGGGCCGAGATGGTCTCATCCAGGCACCACATCTCGCCTCCAGACCTGCCCGTTGAAGACTTCCCTGAAGCTGTGGCTGGCGTACCCGCGGCCTTCCAACCATCTCAGCCCAGGGCGATCTGGGCCTCGGCAAGCTGGGCAGGGCTGCCGTGCGTCTCGACGAAAGCGATGGCCCTGTACTTATGCTTGCCTCGGTCGGCAAGGAACTTGGCCGCTTGGGGCCCATACCCCGCGATGTTGGCACACACGACCACGGCCGGCTTGCCCTCCTTTCTCTGATTGCGTCTCTGCTCAGCCGCGCGCCGCCGCGGGCGCCCCTGGACGTCCGTCCGCGGCCAACTGGAGACACCGCCCCGAACTGATTGCCGGCCCGCCAGAAGGGGCTGATTTTCTCGCTCGGGCGGCGCCCCCCCCTCGCACGCGGCGCCACGGGGGCCGGCGGGCAATTTTTCCAAGAAAAGTGGCTCGCAGGCCCCCTTGGCGCGGCCCAGCCGCGCCGCTGCCGCAGCAGCGTCGGGATGGCCACTGCGCTGGGGCTGCCGTCCAGCATCATTGCCTCCGCGGTGAAGGTGGCTGGCATCAGCGTTAAATAGCTCAACATGTGGACCGTCGAGGTCAGCGAACGGACCCGCCTCCTCCTGTTCCATGTTGTCCTTGGCCTGGCGGCGACCTCGGCTAGCGGGAGCGAGGGCTCGGCCCATCTCCGAAGGCGCCGGCCACCCGCCCGTCGGCGGCATCGGAGACGGGGTCGCATGGAGCGCGGGCTCGGCCACCCGCGCGGCCGCGGCACACACTCGATGCGTCTTGCCTCGCTTACCCCAGCTACCCCGCCGCCCCGCCACTCTGCCACGCTGACCACCCTGCCCGTCCACGGGGCCTCATGGCCTGGCAGGTGGAAGGGCATGCTGGCCTCGGCTGAGCTAAAGCCGAGGCAGAGCGCCAGCAGCAGCAGCCCCCGCGCCAGCAGCAGGTGCGTTGGTGCCCGCAGGCGGCGCAGCAGCAGGGCAATTGGCCTCGTCTGCGGCTGTCTTGGCTTGGCGGCTGGCCTGGGATGCAGCCTCGGCGATGTCCACGGCTTTGCAGGCAGCCTGGTCCGCTGCCGCCTTCTGGCTTGCACCCTGGGCGGCTGGAGCGGCCTCGCCGCCGGCGCCTTGTGCAAGGGGGGGCGGCAGGCGCAGGCGCAGCGGGCGCCGCTGGGCCGCCCCCAGGAACCGCTGGTGTCGCCGCATCCTCCTGGCCAGCTGGCTGCGCCGGCGCGGGCTCCACTCGGCAGCGTTTTGCCTGGGCCTCGCGGAACAGCTTGATCCTCTCCTGCTGCTCCTTGCAATTGGCCTCGTAGGCGCGCTGGGCCTCCTGCGTGGCCGCCAGGCCGTCCGCGCCCATCTTGCGCAGCGTGACCTGGGCCTCCTCCTCCAAATCACACCAGTCCTCGTAGCTCTCCACATCGAAGTTGAAGATGACCTGCTTCAAGAGGTCCACGGCTGGGAAGGCACCCGTCTCGTTGCCACGGCGCGCGAGGAGATCGGCCTCCTCGCGCTGCGCTGCCTCCACGTTGGCCGCGCAGCTGTCGCACCACTCCTTGCCCTCCGCGAGGCGGTCCTCGGCGTCGGCGCGCGCCTCAGCTGCCTCCGCGAGGACGCCAGTCCAGTGCAGCCTGCGGTCTGTAGCCGACTGCAGCTGCTGCTCCACGAGTGCGCGGCTGCTGCGGGGGCGGGGCTGGCTTGCGCTCCCTGGCCGCCTGGATCGCGCGCTCGAGCTCCGACTCGATGCCCTCGTCGGGACAGGCCGGGAGGCGGGCGAGCTCGTCGTCGGGCGGCGGCGTCCAGGGAGCCTTGGGGAAGGTGCTCGGCTTGCGCGCCTGTCCCCCCCCTCCTCCCCCCCCCCTCCTCCCCCTCCTCCTCCCTCCTCCCTCCTCCTCCTCCTCCTCCTCCTCCTCCTCCTCCCTCCTCCTCCTCCTCCTCCTCCTCCCCCTCCCTCCTCCTCCTCCTCCTCCCCCCCGTCCCCCTCCTCTACCTATGGCAGCGGTGGTCTGGCCCGCTGCCGTCTGGCCTGGGCTGCTCGCCGTACCAGGTGGGGGCCCGGGCGCGGCGTGGCCTGGTGTGGAGGAGGCAGGAGGAGGATGCTCGAGGCTCCTCCTCCTCCCCCTCCTCCTCCTCCTCCTCCTCCTTCCTCCTCCTCCTCCTCCTCCTCCTCCTCCTCCTCCTCCTCCTCCTCCTCGAGCCTCCTCCTCCTCGAGCCTCCTCCTCCTCCTCCTCGAGCCTCCTCCTCCTCCTCCTCGAGCCTCCTCCTCGGGCCCATTTCCAGCAGGTCGTGCTCTTCTTGAAGTTCCACTGGCAGCCGCACGACCGGCACTCGAAGTACCCAGCCAAGGCGCGGCGCTCCTCCTGCTGGCGCTTGCTCATGCTTGTTGGGAAATGGAGGCTCGTGAACCCGCCGCTCCAAACACGCGCCCCCTCTGGGGCTCCTGATTGCGCGCCGGAGAACGGAGGACCTCCGTACTGGATGAGAACTGCCGCGGATTAGCGGTATCCGTGCCTGCCAATGCGGGCTCAGCCCGACGAAGCATAAATCTTGCGCCAAAATGGCTACGGAGAGAAGGAGCACGAGGAGGAAGGATGAAGACGACGCGAAAGGAGGAGGAGGAGGAGGAGGACGACGAGGAGGACGAGGAGGAGGACGAGGAAAAAGAAGAAGAAGAAGAAGAAGAAGAAGAAGAATGCCACATGCTGACGCATAAGGTCTGCGCAACGTAAATGGACGAGGAGGAGGAGGAGGACGAGGAGGAGAAGAAGGGGGAGGCGGAGGAGGAGGAGGAGGAAGAGGAGGAGGAGGACGACGACGACGACCACGATGACGACGACGACGACGACGACGACGACGACGACGACGACGACGACGACGACGACGACGGGATCGCCGCCGCGGGCTCTGGGGCCGCCAAGGCACGCGGAGCGCGCCAGGGAGGCACACAAGCAGACCTCCGACAGTGCATGCTACGGCGCCGAGGCGGGAGCGCCGCTCCTGAATGATAAAGAAAGAAATATCGAGCGAGAGCGCCAATTCTGTTGGAGAGCCAATTCTGCTGGAGAGCCCTGGTCCCGAGTAGAAAAAAGCCAGATTCGGGCGGGAGCATTCGTGCTGTTGTTGGGGGGGACGGTTCCGGCTCAGCCCCGAAACGCCTGAGCGTGAGCCGAATCTTGAGAGGAAATGCAGCCGGCGCCGAAACGAGAGCGCCAGTGCGGATGCGGGGTGTCCCATTGGCAATAATTTTCTGACAGCTACGGTGCTAGGAACAGTCTCAGGGCCTCTG